CCTTCCGTAGGGCAGCTCGGGTAGCGCAGCGAGGTGTGCGCCACACCTTCCGTAGGGCAGCTCGGGTAGCGCAGCGAGGTGTGCGCCACACCTTCTGTAGGGCAGCTCTTGGCACGGCGCAGCAGTCTGCTGAAGCTGGATCTGAGGCCTGGTTTGGGAAGGTGGATTTAGCCAGCTGCTGCAGAGGCGTGATTATGCTTTTATTTCAGTATGGTGCATTTTCATTTCAAGTCCAAAACTTCTTTCTGAAAATATACCACTGTCCAGTAAGCGCTAGCTGTCTTATGTGCACCTTCTTTCTCAATCTTAACCCAGCCAGGTGTTACATCTCTATTTTATGGGTGAGAAAAATGACACACAGAGAGGCTGGGGAACGTGTGTAAGGTCACACAGCTGTGGAGCAGCAGCTGCAAATTCAGATCCATCCTCTTGAATGCTGCAATCTATGCTCCCCTCCTGTGTGCAAACCAGCTCCTGCTGCTCTTGTTAGTGTCCCTGGGTATTTCCTGTTAGTAAGTATATACCTAAATGATTTGGGCATGAAAAAGTTATTAGACCAGCCTGTGCAATGCACAAGTCTGACTCTAAACAGAAACTTCAAACTGAGAAACTTGGGGTGTGACGGCGCCACCGTGGTAGACCGCGTGTCTCCTTGCATAGGAACCTGGCGCACTGGCCTCAGAACACACATGGCGTGTGATATCCCCGGCCCTTTGTCTATTCATTCAACAAGCATTCCTTAAACTACTCCTGTGTTTTGGGCACTGCCCTGGGTCATGGGAAGTCAGTGCAAGTTCAGTGAAGGCAGCCCTGACTCCCTGAGCTTTCCCCCTGATGGGGGAAAGCAACAAACAAAACGGGCCGAGAGTAGGAGAGTCGGGCAGGCAGGCTGTGAAGAAGCTGGCTTCCAGCTGAGGCTGGGTGGAGCATGGACCCGCCCCCTAGTACATCTGGGGGAACTGTGGAGGCCAGGCCCCCAAGGCTGCTGTACCAGGCAGGCATCCTTGTCTCTGCTGTGTGCAAGGCAAAACCTGAGCCCCCACCACTGTGTCACCGGGCACAGATGTTGCAGTGCCGAGAACGACCGAGTCCAGTTCTCTCCACGGCACATCTTGAGTGCCCTCCCAGTCCCCAAGCCTTGCAAATTCCCTACCCAGCTCCAAGCACTGACGCCCAAGCAAGGGGCAGCCATAGCCTGTGGTGGCTCTGACTCTTCACCAGGAGCGCTTGAGTGCGGACAAACAGGAATATCCTCTGCCACTGGGGTTGGGGTGAGTGAAAGCCACATGGGCCCCAAGGGTGTGGCAGGCACAGCTGAAAGTAACTGGGATCCCATAAGCAGGGAAGAAGGAGGGTGCCGAAGAGACACAGCAGATTCCAGCCTGAGTCAAAGCTTCTGTAGGTGTCTTCTACATTTGAAAATAGGAGTTTTGCTTCTCAGTTGTAACACCTGTTTGATAAATTCTATTAACTATTTCAGATTCCAGGCACTTAATTCAGCTTCCTTTGGTGTGTGTGATACTGAGAATCACACTCACAGCCTCACGCTTGCCAGCCAGGTGTTGTGAGGCCGAGCTGTACCCCGGCCCTCACTCAGCTTTAAAGCGCTAGAAAAGCATTGCGCATGTAAGTGCCAGGCGCATGGCGATCTTGGCGTCTTCCTTAGAGCACAGAACATCCTTCCTGGTCAGGAAAAGCTTCTTCAAGGGTGCTGAGCAGCCCCACGTCAGTTCTGGCTCACAGAGGTTAAGAAAACAAAAGCCCAACCCTCTGTGGTGTCTGTGGTCAGCATGAAACCTTGTCACAAGCCCTCGGGAATTCTCAGCTGTGTCAGACAAACCAAATGTGTGCCGTCCCTGCAGCGGTGTGTGTAAAATTTGCATGCCCACGCAGCTGCTCTGCAGGAACCCTATCTGGAAACCCCCGGCTTCAGGTACAGCTGTCCACGGTGCTCACACCAAAAGCTCTCTGCCTTGCAGCCGGAGGGCAGGAGCAGGAGCCTGCAGGAGACAGCCCACTGGGAGGCATTTTACCTTTTTCTTTGGCATCATGCTCTTCCCTGGAGGCCAGGTAGAGAAAGCCAGGACTCCGGCGTCACTTGAACATTGCCATCTAGCTGAGGTGATTCTCCTTTCCTTCCATTAGACCGCAGGCAAGATGTTGGACTTCTGTCAGGGATGGTCTTCTTCGCCGTGACGCTCTCCGTTCTTTCTCTGATTGGGATCTTTAGCCGATCACTCCGCACCAGGTAGGTTGTGTGTGGGCATTCTGCTTTCTGATTACACATGTGCACAAGCAAAATTTGGTGCCAACTACATGAACACATTAATATCTGTCCAGAGAAGGGAAATACAACACCAGCGTTCAGGGAGTACCGCGGGGCCGAGCTCTCTGTAAGTGTCACTATTTCCTGCTCACCATGTCTGCACCAGAAGAGCTTGGTGCAGTGTTACAGAGACCCAGAGAGGCAAAACTCTTGGCCCACGGCCACAGAGCACTAAGCCAGGCCTGCAGCCCCAGCCGAGGAGGACAGCCTGCCTTCTGCCCTCTGGCTTTTCATTGTGCTTCCATGCCGTCCACAGTGCCTGCATTCTTTCTGTTTGCATTTGGTTTCAGGACAGGGTCTTGCTATGCAGTTGAGGCTGCCTTGAACTCACGACGTGGCTAGGGCTTGCTTTGCACCTTCAGGCCTGCTCCTGCCTCAGCATACTGAGGATCACAGTGTGCTACAGTGCCTGGCCAGTGCCTGGATTTCAGAGAGTGGAACTGCCTGAGTTCCACCCAAACAGATGAGCAGATTCCACATGGAAGGAAGTAGGCAGTGTTGGAGCGAGTCATTTTGTCGCCACAATTGTGCTGTCTTTAGGAATCTGACCCCAGAGCATCTATTGTCTCCTTTAGTCATGCCCCCACCCCCACCTTGAAGTTTGAGGCAAGTTACTGAAAATGGCTTAGGAAAGCAAGACTTTTGATTTTCTTTTCTCTTTTCTCCTTTCTTTCTTTTTGGTACTGGAAATCGAACTCAGGACCTTGGGATTGCCAGGCAGGCATTATGCCGCTGAGTTACATGCCGAGCCCAAAGCCCTCGGTTTTCTCACCTTGATTGGTGCACTGAGCACCCCCGCTGTGCCAACAGAGTTGTTCACAGGGCTGTCTCCAGCAGAATGCGTTGCGCACAGACCCAGACGCGTACTGTTTGTCAAATGGGCCCTGAGTTTCTTTCTTGTCATCACTTTTGCCTTGTGACATAATCTCTCCTTTCAATGCATAATCACCATGCAGTAGAAAGTTGATTTTAAAAGCTATTCTAAATAAAGTATCCTAATGACTTCCTATTTATATGCTCAGAACTTGGGAAATATTTCAAAATTAAAATCACATGCTAACCAAGCCCTGCTATGCTTGTGACGAGGCAGAGCTAATGGAGAATTTTATTTTAGGATGTATTACAATACATGTGATTACAAAAGTCCCTGGAAATCTCTTAATGTTTAAACTACTACCTCTAAAAACATTAATATTCCTACGATTACCCAAGTATTCCTAGTTAATTCAAATGACATTCAGTTTGCTATTAAAATTTCAGTTTGCAATAGAAACTAAGGAAGTAGAGCAGTTCTGGATTAATTGGATTATTTAAACAAGTACTGTATAAATGGGATAATTTCAGTGGAGCTGCTTTGCATATAAGCAGGTCGTTCCTCATTTTTCCTCAAGTTTCGTCCTTCACTAAGTGCACAGTTGCAGCACATGAAGACCCAGGCCCGGGGCAGCTGCTCCTGCATGCAACACACTTGCATGCCTTCCCACCCTTCCTGTCTCCTCCTCCGCCTCCGTAGATACTGTTCTGTGGTAGCACAGTACCTGCTTAACAAGGCCCTACATCAGGAGCAGATCTGGAGAGTGAAGCCCAGTGCTTATCCAGCAAAAGGAAACCAAGAGCTGATAACTGTCTACCGCACGTTCTTATCGTAGCCACACACTATAGAGAAACTTGAGAAGCTACTAGCACGAGCTTGCTAGTCTGGTCTTACTCTGAATAGCGATAGAGTGTAAATGGTAAAAACAACAAAACCACTGTATAAATACGGGTGAAGAAATCATTTTCAGGCTGAAGCCCAGTGTCAAACAGGGCTAGAGGCCAGTGTTGAGTAGAAGGTCCCAGAGGCCTGTGAAGGCCCTGGCTGCGTCCTGCCTGCTGCTCACGGGCGAAAATGAGCCTGAGTCAGCTTCATGTCTCCCTCGGTCCTGGGACACCACTGTGCCCAATTCAGGCTGGAACTGTCCATGTGGGTGGCACTTGCAAACACAATGGCAGTGCCAGGGCTACTGCGGGCACGAGTGGGCATGCGTAGTCCTCTTGCTGCCACTGCTCTGCTGCCCCACTTACCACTGGCCCCAGGGAAGACAGCCACTCCTGGCCCCCCAGGTGGCCAGACAGGTCCTCCGGCCTCCCGCGCCACCCCCAGATGGACAGGGAGGATGCAGGGCAGTCGGCACAACCCTAGTTGGGTGAGCTACGATGTCCAGAGTTAAGGCGCTGGCACAATCACTTTAATGTTTGAGTCTCTTTTCTAAAAGTTGTGGTTGTCACGGAACTGTCCACAAAGGTCCCCTAAGCTTTACAGGCTTCCCCGCACCAACATGGACTGCCCAGAGTATCCGGCCACACTTAGTGTCTCCAGTTCTTCCCACTTCTCTTGAATCTAGTGTCCTGAAATCCTGCTTGTTGGGAAGAAGAAGAGGAACACACAAAGCGGGGAATCTGGGAAGATGCGGAGCGAGCGCATGCTTCGCTGCTGCACCAGAAATGTGCTGCTTCCTGGGGTTCCAGCCTGGCCCCTGTGATGGCCTGCACCAATCCCCCAGGAGCACGCATCTTCTAATGTGTCTTCTTTGTTCTTTTAGAATTAAAAGAAAGCTCTTACTGCTGATACCAGCATGGCTTCATGAAGAGATTCCTAACGTGGAGAATAGTAATGTTGTGAAGATGCTGCAGGTAACCGTCAAGCCCATTCCGGGTCGGCACCAAGGCTGCAGGTTAATGACAGTGTAGAAATCCCATTCAAGTATGTCTGCGTGTGTATTAGCGTCACTGAGCACAGGAGGGCCGTTGTGCAGAGTTCTCATCCGACTTAAAAGAGTTGAGAGAATGGAGTGAGGGGATGAAAAGAGAAAGAAACCTCACTGTCCACAGAGGAAAATGGAGTGGAAGATGGGGCCGCGTGCAAGTGTCACGTGGAAACCAAGAGCTGGCTAGGCCTCTTCAGGGAGAAAGATGGAGGGAAGAAGGGAGCTCGGTGGGTGGGAGGAACCCAGAGACTCATACAGGCTTCAGAATTCCACGAGATGGGCAAAGGGGACCCTGAGATAAGCCCAGGGGAATATGAGGAGAGTCGTGGGGGTGCAGAAGATGGTGTCATTACGGTGCATCCAGGAGGACATGGAGCACATGTTGTGGAAGAGTGGAAGGGTCTGCCCTGTGCATTTCCAGCCTTCAGGAATTCAAACCCCAGTCACGGGCCAGGCATGTTCCCTAAGCATCAAGTGCAGCGAGGAGACGTGGATGACCCAGAGGAGCTCCCATGCACAGTGGAGCCAAGAGAGGACACCGGAAGATGAGGAGCAGCGAGGGGCTTGAGGGATGGGGGAGTGTGGAAGCTGAGGGGAGAAGTCAGAAAGGCCAGAACGGCATGCTTCTAGGAGAACAGTGGCCTCTGTCAGGTCAGAGTTTGTGTTCACAGCCCTAGAGCGCCCATGAATCAGCTCCCACCGAGCTGTGGGGCCCGTACCTGCTGAGTTCCCTCAGAGGCTGGGCTGCCTCAGGTGACTCCACTGAAGAGCTTCCTCGCTGCCAGGCGGCCTTCCCATCCCTGCTCTGGGGATCTGGGTTTCTGCCCAGGAGATAGGGGAGAGCTGTCTGGGTTGGCTTGGGCTGTGACAGCAGAACTCACAGACCGGAAGTCCCAACAGCAGTGGAGCTCCGACTCCCTCCTTGGGTCCTAGGGGCCAGGATAGCCAAGGCCAAGGTGGGACTGTCAGGGTGGCTCTTGGGCAGGTGGTGGTGGGCAGGTGGCTGTCTCCCTCCTGGCTCTTCTTCACAAATGGTTTTCATGAGGGATCCATCCATGTGCCCTAATCAGCTCCCGAAGTCTCCACCTCCAAGTGCTGTCGCACTGGCTGGAGCGTGAGTGGGAGAGGGGATTACAGGCACCCAGTCTGTAACAGTGGCTGTCATGGACGGGAATTATCTCCCCTAAGAGACCAACCAAATACCTCTCTTGTCCTGAACAGTCAAGCAGCTGAAGCCCACGTGTGCCTGGATGCCAGGTAGCTCTACATTTTTCAAACAAAGCATTCCTTACAACCTTTCTCTCAAGATATGAGCAAAGAGGAGTCTCTGCCTTTTCTTGTATTTAAACAGCAAAGTATTTTCTTGTCGTGAAGCTCCATAATATTCTAAAGCCCAACTTTTATTTGTATTATTATTATTATCTTAGTTTTTTGAGAGACAGTCTCTCTGCATAGTCCAGGCAGGTCTTGAACTTACTGTGTAGCTCAGGCTGGCCTTGCCCTCGTGGTGATCCTCCTGCCTCGGCCTCGTGAGAGCGGGGATACCTGAATGCACCATTCTCTCTTGCTCCAAAGCCCAGCGCTCAAGAGGTCTGCAGCACTGTGCATGTTAATGTGCAAGGCTCCTCTTTCCCTTAAAAAGAACTCGGAAAATATGCTTAAATGGTGGGTTGTCTTTATTATTCTTTTGCTTCAGTCTCCTCTTGGGAGAATTTAATAAGGATTTGAAAGCAAGTAAGGTAACCAAAGAGAAAGGGAGGAAAGCATTCAGGAAGAAACACTATGTGGTAAAAGGCGAAAGATTTATACGATGTGAAGAGAAACCAGAGTATAGAAACGCTATTTGGAAAGGGAGTGGAAAGGCCACGTCCAGAGGAAGGACGTTCCCGTCCTTCAGCTACCCAGCCGGCTTTTTTTAAATGGCCTTTATCAAACAACACAATGTCTGTCTTTTTCCCCTAGGAAAAAGATGAATTTGTGAGTAATAATCCTGGTGAGCAAGTCCTTTATGTGGATCCCGTGATTGCAGAGATAAGAGAAGTTGTTCTCCCAGAGGAGTACAAGCCTGCCCATCACAGGAAGGAAGCGAGTGCAGGAGGCCAGGCAGCTCAGGCAGCCGCTCTCCCCAGCAGCGCCGTGGTGTACGTTCCTGCCCTCAGCTCTGGGTACAAACCCCAGATCTCGGGTCCTCTCCCCGGGGGAGATCACCTTAGCAGCGGTGAGGAGACCAATCCCTCACCCCTTAGAGCAACGGTGGGCTCCCTTGACCTAGCAAAAAATGCCAGGGGTGGACAGCATCCCCAGTTTGCTTTTCCTGTGTCCAGCATGGATTCATTAAGTGGCACACTAATTCTTGAAGAATTAAGCCTTATTCTCAATCAAGGCGAGTGCGGCCCTCCTGACATACTGAACACAACAGAGGGCGAAAGCACCCTGCTTTTAGGAAGTGACGCCGTCCCGGAACAGACTGTGTTGCCCGATGAGTTTGTCTCCTGCTTGGGGATCGTGAACGAGGAGCTGCCATCTGCTAACCCTTACTTTCCACAAAATATTTTGGAAAGCTGCTTCAGTAGGATTTCACTCCCACAAAAGTAGAGCTTGTAGCCGACGCTCATTCGGGAAAGCGGTCTTGGAGCGGGAGGGGGGCTCTTCCCCTCCATAGAAACAGCATTCTGCCTCCAAGACCCGAAGCGGAGCGGAGCCTGCTCTGTGGCGGACACACAGCAGCATTAGTAGGGAAACCAGCGCATCTTAAAAAGCTACATTCCTTCCTCTTGGTAGTTTCCTTCCCAGAAAGGCAGAGAGCAGCTCTGCTCAGTCAAGGAAGGTTAAATAACAGACGCTGTGCAGTGGCGAAATCAACGCCACAAATCAAAGTACCAGCATCTGCTTGCGAAGGCTGAAGCAAGCTTAGTTTCGCTCTTAGCCCTTCAAATTTTCCTGAGTAGATTGAAATATAGCTCCAGAGAGCAAACTACAAGAAGAAAGGGCAGCTAATTTGCATATCTGCTGTCACATCCCTCCCACTACTTTCTATTCAGGTAGTAGAGATTCGGTCTTCGTGTGTTTGGTCCAAGAGCTGTGGAGCAATGATGTGTGGGCACACGACTCCCTCTCCGCACTCGACAGTGGTGCCACTGTCCCCCTGAGGCATTGCTGGCACATTATTTAAGCCATCGTGGAACCCAAGAGAGGTAGCAGAGGCAGGATCAGCCGCCTGTGATTGCTTCTGGGATCATCTGTGCAGTCGGCGTGTCAGACGTCCTTGTGAAGGCAGGATGTGCGTAGGGCGCTGTGCAGACCGCTGCCACACTGCAGCCATCGCTGGCCGGCCGCTGCCCGCCTCGGTTGGCTTTTCGTCCTTCTCTGTTTCTTACACTTTGTATATCCTGCACAGAATCTGTTCTGCATCACTAACGGAATGCCAGCGTGAAGACACCTTAATTTTTAGCACGGGCATTTGCTTTATACTTCTTCAAAGAGGGAATTAAACAAAGAGGCAAGGAGTACTGGAGACAGAAACTCCAACCTGAGACTCCTCTGTGCTGTTTAATAACCCAGTGTGGACATTCGGTGATGTGGAAAGATTGGTTTATAGTGTGCTTCACCATAATTGTAAGTCACTGGTTGTCGGAAAAGCTTTCACAGCTGGGCATGGTGGCCTGTGCCTATAATCCCAGCAGCACTCAGGAGGCTGAGGCAGGAGGATCACCATGAGTTCGAGGCTAGCCTGAGCTCTATAGTGAGACACTGTTTCAAAAAAAAAAAAAAAAAAACCCAAAAACTAAAGCTTCTACCATGCTGGAAGGAGGGCAGCAGTGCTTGGTCTCTGGTGAGTGCTCCTGGCTTGTGGAGGGTGGCTGCGCCCGCCTGTGCCCTCCTGCGCTACCACCCCACATACGGTCTCCTGCAGGAGAGCCCAGAGGATCCCACATGCCGGGTTTGCCATTCGCCTTCCGGTCCCAGTGGACTGGAAATCCTAGCTGGCCCTGCCACAGTTTGCAGGGAAGTGTCAGCTGCTGCACGACAGGGCCAGCCTGGCCTGGAAGCCAGGGCCTTCTCTCCATTTAACCAGGACTTCCTGGTCCACTGAATACCATCACTAGAGCCAGGCACTCGGGAAATCATGGATGTGACAGCGAACCCTGCAGACTTGGGGTTGTGTTCTAGGCCAAGGGGCACCCCGTGGAGAGGACAGTCATTGGCTTCAGAGATCTGCATTTCAGTGGGCAAGTGGTTGGGCTGGGGTGGGGGGGCCAGAGAGAAATAGAGAGAATGGGCAGTGTAGGGAGCAGCAGCAGGAGGGGGCCCCCTGGCACCACCCAGCCCTTAGGCCGGAGCGGGCTGTGAACCACACGCAAGTCCTGGGGGGGCGGGGTGCTCTGCAGCGCCTGCTACTACTTCCTCCCGGACACTTCAGCCACTGCCCACCCTGGCCTTCTGCAGCCAGCATTTGCTGTGGACCCAAGGGACAAGGACAACTGCTCCAGCTTCCATTTCTCTCTAGGGCCTGTTACTAATATGCTTTCCTGAGTCCCATGGTACCCTCAGCTTCTGACTTCGAGATGGGCCTGTCCAGAGGCCTGGGTGGGTTAGGGAGGGAGAGAGGAAGGATGGAGGGGAGGGGGAAGAAGGAGGGAGGAGGGAGGAGGACTGGGGCAGAAGGGAGGAGACCACACAGGCTATCCAGGCTATCCACCAGGAGGGGAGAGGTGTGAGAGAACACGGCTGGTTCTGGACAGCACCAGAGCTGGCAGCAGAGGGAGGCAGCGGGCAGCAGCTTGCAGCTTTGGCTGGGAGTGCTGCAAGTCAGTTGCGTGCATGTGGTCTTTTTGAGAGTGGGAAGTGTTCCCCAGTACTTCAAAGACTCAACACCTGGGATCACCTATTAGGAGTTTGTGCACATCAAAAGAAATCACCAACAGAGTGAAAAGAAAACCCACAAATTGGGAAAATATCTTAGCCACTGTCCCTCCGACAAAGGACTTCTATCTAGAACATATAAAGAATTTTAAAAAACAGGCCCCCAAAATTCAAAGACCCAATCCAAAACTGGGTATCTGAGATGAACATACACTGCCCCAATGAAGAAATACAAGTGGCACGTAAATGCATGAAAAACTATTCAGCAGCATTGGTCATTGGAGAAATGCAAATTAAAAAAAACACTGAGAGTCCATCTCACCCTGGAAAGAACGGCTACATCAAGAAAGTGTTCCCCCCGCGCTGGAAATGGGCCAGAAGGATGCGGAGGCTGGGGCACGGCTGTGGCTGTCTCCCTCTCCCCAGATGAACTGGTGGTTTTCTGGCTCCTGTCATCCTGCCACATGGAGATGGAGACGGACACAGCAGCGGCAGAGGGGAGGGGTCTTTCTCTCCAAAGAAACCTTAGTCACTGATCTCCCATCTGGGCGAAGTCAGGGTCCCAGAGTCGGGGCAGAGCCGGCTCCACCCGGGCGCTCCTGCGTCCTCTGTCCTCTCCCTTCCCCTCCGTGGGCTGAGACCTGGGCAGCCAGGAACCAGGCTTCCGCCCCCCTCGCCTCAGCACAGAGCTGCCAACGCAGGCCCGAGTGTAGACAGCCCCAAGGCCCCCAGATCACCCCAGAGGCCCCTCGTGGCTAGCTCAGGAGGGCCGGATCTCTAGCTGGAAGCAGAAGCGCCATATGCAGTGTCACTTTGCCACCCCCCACCTTATCATAAATATCTGGGCTTTGTCCAAGGTTATGTCTTTTAAATAAGATATCGTGTTGTGAACATAATTAGATTTTATAAACCGAGAGACTGCCAACTCCTGCTGCGGCTTGGCCCTTTATGGAGTAATTACACCAGTTACAGGAGGTCATGTTTTAATAGGGACTGTTACCCACTTGGCAGACACCATTGATTTAAAATAAAAGAAATGATTAAAAACGATTTATGGTCCTCTCAGGTAAAAGTGTGAAACCAATATAAAATAATTATATTCTGATTCATGGAGTGCGTTGTATGCAGCTGTGGCTGCCATAGTTAAGACAGAATTACAAGAAGGTCAACACCGGTTTGATAGAACCTTATTCTGCTCTTTCCCAGTACTAAGATTACACCATTAAGTCCCAATTAATGTTTCATTAGAGGTGCTCTCAGCCATTTTGCTAATTTCAGTTTACAACCTCATTTGCGATCACCACCCTGTATCTTTTATATTCAGAATTTCCATCAATTTTCTAATGATGTATTCCTTTCATGCTTATTTTTGGAATATAAATTATTACCTAATTCTCATAATTAGCATTTAACAACACATGAAGAACTCAGTTGAAAATAGTCCATTTATATTTGGAACAGGAAGAATATTCCAGCCCAGCTAAAAAACATAAAAGCAAGCAAGCAAGCAACCCCGAGAACCTAACCAGCAGTGTTGTGGAACCGTAGATTTTTTTTCTATGACCATTATTTCAAAAATTCCAAGAAAACAAAGTGTGATCTCTAACCGCAAAGGCAAACCTAAGTAGCACCTCTCTGAGCACAGGAAGGAAATCATAAATAGCCGCCCGGGCCGAGCGTGAGATGCGGAAGTCAGTAAGGCTGCCGCACCGGCCGCGCCGTCCCGCTGCCCGAGAACGTTAGCCAGGCGTGCACAGGAAAGAATACCGTGGTGCAGTAAAGGAGCATTTTATTTTTAAACTGCATACAATTTATGAAAACACATTTTTTAAAAAATCCAGGTCCTAGCAGTACTGCTGCAGCGGTGCCTGCTCCCTCCACGCCCTCCTGACGCCTCCTCCACTCAGGTCATGAGTCTCTGCCAGTAGTTTTTTTTTAATCTAAATTATGAAATTTCATGCAGTGTTGTTCTGTGACTTGCTGGCTTTCTCCTGCCATAGCTTGGAAGTCTGAACATTCTTTTACGTTTAGCTTTCCATCATTCTCTCAGGCAGGTGCACAGCGTTGCGCAGAGTGCATGCAGCCCGGAGCGGGCACTCCTCCTAGCAGCGCACCTCCAGTTGTGCCCGCTGTGCACCAGTGCGCCCATTCCCTAGGGATTCTTCTTCTAGACAGTCTGTCACCACACATCAAGGAGAACTGTGTAAAGGTGCAGCACAAAGGAAGACAGAGTCTCTCTGTTTTTCTTGTTTCTGTTTTTGTTTTTTGAGGCAAGGACTTGTGGGCTGGGCTTCTGCTCTCTGTGTAGCCCAGACCGGCCCTGAACTTGCAGAGACCCTCCTGCCTCAGCCTCACAAGGGCTGCAATTACAGGAGAGCATCAGATTTTTTTTTTAAATGTATTTGGTACAGTGTGTCACTATGCAGCTCAGACTCATAGTGATCCTCCTGTTTTCAGCCTCCCCAGTGCTGGCATTACAGGTATGCCCCACCATGCCCAGAGTCAGTGGCCAGCTCTGCACACCTGGGGACAGGGCCAGTATGGCACGTGGTGCCGGGAATTGAACGCTGGTCCCTGTGCTTGCCTAAGCAGGCATTTCGTTCACTGAGCTATCTCACCAGCCCTAGAGAATTTATCAGACTCTTAAATGTGGAATTGTTGGTTCAAGAAATAAAAATCACTTATATTTTGGTAAATAATACCAGTGACTTCTCTAAAAAGATTTTGCCAAT